TTTCAAACACTCTGCCCTTAGGAGCATTTCCTGCTAGCTGCTTGCAAACACCTTTACACTTCAGCTGTTTGTTTTCATCGGGGCTTTTGATAAAAGGAATCTTGTTCTTCTATCAGATTAGCCATGCAAGTTATCACAGGCCTCATGGCCTCTCTTGAACAGACGTTCAATGCTCCCCAGGCCCCTCCCCATCCCCAGAAATGGCGTTCTGTAAAGACGGAGAATACAGACTGACGGCCAAAACTCCCTCCCGCCTGCCTCCAGGCCCCTGCCCTATGTGGGGCTGCTGGAGCAAAATGCCTGGAAAGTCATTCTACGTTTAAGAAAATATGGGAGGAGATTTCCAGCCTGCCAGAGGCAGGCTGACTCTTTCCTGACGTTATGGGAAAAACGCTGTAAGGCTTGACTCCACAGCTGAGCTCTGCACAAAGTTTTCCCTCTCGGCGCTTGGTCTTTGTCTCAGCAACCAGGCTGTGCACACAGGAGGCCCCTTCGCCTCCGCCTCTCGTTCTCTGCTTCCAGTGCCAGGTAACGGTTGCTAGCTCTGTGGCCCCGGGCAAGTTTTTCTGTTCTTTGGCCTCAGTTTCTTCATCTGCAAAATAGGAGTAAATGATAGCACCTACCTCATAGGATTAACACTAAAATTAAATACATATATACAGTATCTTGCATATAGGATGCACAGTTTGTTATAATTATTTTTCATGTTGACAATCATAAGAAATAGGCGGTCTAGCCCAGAGTAAGGAGGCCGAATACCTAATCTTTGTTGTTTTTTAACTTCCTCTCCATCGGCATGGGACACCGGGGTAGTTTCTTCCGTGTGAATCTCTGTAATTGTCTCTGACTCATGTTTGTCCTTCATCTGCTATATTCCCAGCAGCGCCCACGGTGGGGGATATACAAATCTACAGAAAACGAAAGGCATGAATGAAGACCTCTATTGACCTGCCACTCTTGACTTCCTAATTTGCTAAAGGAGACTTCTAACACTGGGTTAAAGCAAAAGCATTACTTTGAAATCTTTACAGGAACTTTTAGTAAATGCTTTGATGGTTGCCAAATATTAAGTTTTATGTCCTTGTCACAGAATGGTGAGACATGAAACTCTGATTTAGTTTAAGACCAGAATTTAATCTAACCTCTGTTTGGTATATATGTAACATCATACCCCATACTGGTGTTAAACATGGGTCCAGTGAGGTTAAAACTATGCCAGTTATAATTTATATGTGCTCATTCTGGCACTGCTTATGAATTAACTAAGAAAAGTGGGGCACCTGGGCTGCTCGGTCGGTTAAATGTCCGACTCTTCTTGATTTTGGCTCAGGTCATGATCTCACGGTTTTTGAGATCAAGCCCCGAGTCGGGATCTGTGCTGACAGTGCAGAGCCTGCTTGGGATTCTCTCTCTCCTCTCTCTGCCTCGCCCCCACTGGCACTCTCAAAGTAAGTAAATAAAACTTAAAAAAAAAAAAAAATGTCTGCTGTTCATGAAATTCTCTCCAAGCTGTTTGGAGGGTGATCACTCCACATTCCCAAGTGCATACGGGTCCGTCCAAGAGCACACCAATCTTGATCAGCCTGAGAGTGATCCTCTGAACACTGAAATGACCATCAAGACCAAAGGTGTGGATGAGGTCACCATTGTCAACATTTTGACCAACCGCAGCAAGAACAGAGGATATTGCCTTTGCCTACCAGAGAAGGACCAAAAAGAAACTTGCATCAGCTCTGAAGTTAGCCTTGTCCAGCCACCTGCTCCGTGTGATGCTTCTGAGCTGAAAACCTCCGTGAAGGGGCTAGGGACTGATGGGGACTCTCTCATTGAGATCATCTGCTCAAGGACCAACCAGGAACTTCAAGAAATTAACAGAATCTACAAGGAAATGTACAAGACTGATCTGGAGGACATCGTTTCTGACACATCTGGTGACTTCTGCAAGCCGATGGTTGCCCTCAAAAAGGGTAGAACGGAAGACGACTCTGTCATCGATCATAAACCAACTGACCAAGATGCCCAGGATCTCTAGGATGCTGGAGTGAAGAGGAAAGGAACTGATGTGTTCAAGTGGATCTGCATCATGAGTGAAGAGTGTGTCACCTCCAGAAAGTGGCTACTTCCAGGGATAAAAAGCTACTGAGCTATGACATGCTGGAGAGCATCAAGGAGTCAAAGGACACCTGGAAGAGGTTTTCCTGAACCCGGTCCAGTGCATTCAGGACAAGCCCCAGTATTCTGCTGACTGTACGACTCCATGAAGGGCAAGGTCACTCACGATAAAATCCTGACTAGAATCATAGTCTCTCGCAGTGCAGCAGACCTGGTGAAAATGAGGTCTGAATTCATGAGAAAGTACAGCAAGCCCCCATACTACAGCATCCAGCAAGACAGGAAGGGCAACCATCAGAAAGCGTTGCCATACCTGTGTGATGGGGGTGACCGAGGCCCACAACAGCAGGAGCGGCCAGGAGTGGTGCTCCTTTGTTTCCAGCTAAGTTTTAGAAAATAGCTTGTGACTGACAGTCCCCTTGTGCCCGTCCCCGTGAGGATGACCTTAGCAGTGTCCCCTCACCATCTTTATTTCAGTTGCCTAAGCACCGTCTGCCTCTCATGTCTAGTCTTTTTAGTGAAAGAAATTAACATTCCAGGGAGTTGGAAGGGACATCTATGTGAAACGCTTTGCCTCTTGTGTACTGTGTCATGAACAGATGAATAAACCAAATTTTTACTTTATCAACAAGAAAGAAAAAAAGAGAAAGGAAGGAAGGAAGGAAGGAAGGAAGGAAGGAAGGAAGGAAAAAGAAAGAAAAGAAAGGAATGGTAGGTAACAGCATGGTTACTCCTGCCACAATTTGGGAATTAAATGGTCTTTGGGGATCATTCCGATTAGAACACGACATAAAGCTGGCCCCCAGCCATTTTAGTTTGGCAGTCTTCTAAAAGTAATGTGCAGTTGTGACCGCATAACAGTATCTTCCATGTAATCGTGCACATGGGGTCCTCCCATTTCTGAGCCCTCCCTGAGCCTAAGCAATGACTTTATTATCCAGGAAATCTGGCATCACTCAAAAGAAAGCCCTAAACTAGAGTTCAAGACACTCAGCGGCTTTAAAATCTCTGATGAAGAGGCCCAGGTCGGGTCGTCTGAATTTTACATGTTGCATATATTGTAAACATCAAGTAACACCACAAGCATTTAAAAAAAGGAAGTTTATTGGTCTTTAAATGGCTCAAATTGCAAATAAACCAATCGGGTAGTGGCATCAGCCTAAGACATGTGATGCGTCTTTGTCAGTTGGCTTCATAGCACCTCAGTACCCAGGAGAGGAAAGGTCTCAAAGCAAAGTCACAATGTTAGTGGTTAGGACCCCTGGTTAAATAAGACTGTGATGAGTACACACGGAGACCGCCGGGCCCGCGGGGCCAGGGTTACATTGGTAACTTGAATTCTGCACACGGCATAGCCTATGAAAAATACGAAACGGAAGATGTACATCTCAAACCCTTTAAGGACAAATATTTAACATGACAAGTCAGATGTAATATCTAAAGAGCTGAGTTCCTAAAAAGCCTATTTTTGTTAACTTCACATACACACCCGTTACCTGGAACGCCTGAATGCATTTTTCACTTGTTGAAATCAGGACTGAGCAAAAAGAAAGACAAAGTTTATTGAATTAGCCGTCTTAGCCCCATTCTGAAGAAGATAACAAAAATCTGGACAGTGGTATATTTCCCATTGAAATTATGTTCCCAAACAGCATGCTAGAATTCCTCCAGTGGGCACGGCACGCCAGGGCGACACAGGCTGGTGTTCGGTCTGCAGATGCCAAACATGCCTTCTGCACCATACTCGGGGTTCACTGCGTGATGTTAGCATTAGGAAAGCGTGGCTCCGGTGTTCTCCATTATGAACATGACTACAGGGACTCCCGGTAACTCTCCTGCAGCCAAACTGTCACCTCCTAAATGCAAATGTAGAAATGAACCGGCCGCAAGCACGCACACCTTCCCGAATGTTCTAGTGCAAAATGCATTAGCATTAACGACACCTTTCCTGTGCCCTGCTCCCGAGAGACCAACAACTTAACACACGCTCACCACTTGTAAAAAGGGAGTTCCAGGGACCGAGGGTTCACCGAAACAACTGTACTGAATCCCCACAGTCTACAATTATCTTACAAGTATGGGCTGGCCCTTCATGTCAAACTACCTTACGGTTAATGAAAAGCGATCAAGGAGCTCTGGATCCTTACTTTCGAGAACCAGAGTATGGCACACATTTTAAGTTTGGACAGACTCCTAGCAGACAGTTATTTTGCAAGAATCATCTATACAAAAGTTGTACTCCATACCAGGCAAATACTCTCACCAGGACACGTGGGGCAATGGGCCCACGGCACCAGCGGGGACACATCCAGAATGACACAACCGGGTACTTTTCAGTTTCTAAATTAAGGCATATTCAAAAATTTCCATGTACAAGTTTACATCACTTTTCTACGTTAATCACCAGGTAATTAATGCAGGTTCACAGATGAATTACTCTCAATTTAACTATATGCAACAATCATGCCAATAACTTTTCTTCTATATTTTGCATAACAATGGTTAAAAAAAAGTGGTACAGTTTAACTACCATGTTCACAATTGTCATTTTTCAAGGCAGTAGAAGACCAAGACATTTTAAAATGATATAAAATTTAAGCTTTGTAATAAACCAGAGGAAGTAGCCTTTCCTCTCATCCCTCCCACCCCGTCTCGGCTCTAACAGTTCCAGAAAGACTGCCCGCGACACACAAACCCATACGCTACATTCAGGACCGCGATAAATGTAGGCAATTATGAGAGAAGTTGAACTCTGCTTCTTGGTGAAGCCACATTAATTTCTTTTTTAAGTGAATTTGACTCTCAGTGCAGTTCCAATTCATGCTTTTAGTGATACATAACAATTTCCAAATCGTTAAAGTAATTTCAGTCAATTGAGCCTTCAATGGCAATGCTTATAAATTATATTTATTAGTATGGTCAAGATAAGAAAGGAGTTTGGACTTCGATTATAAAATGCAGCATCTTTCTCTGATTCTCTTGGCTAAACTTTTCCTCTTCTTTTTTCCATTCTTTTCTTTGCTGTCTTCCATTTTTCTGGCTCGAATTTCCCTCATTAAGTCAAAAAATACCTAGAAAGAAGAAAATAGGGTAAATAAAGCTACCAGATAGTATGACCTTGGTACTTCTTGGAACCGGAGCAGTAAACCTTGGGAATAAGTAAGAGTAACTACTTAAGAGCTTTTGTCTGGGGGCCACCTGGGTGGCTCTGTTGGTTGAGAGTCTGACTCCTGATATCAGTTCAGGTCGTGACCTTGTGGTT